GTTTGTGGTTACAGGAAAGTGGGTGCAGGAGGGAAGAGGAGCGATTGGTGGAATGATGATGTAAAGAGAGTAGTAAGGGAGAAAAAGTTAGCATATGAGAAGTTTTTACAAAGTAGAAGTGATGCAAGGAGGGAAGAGTATATGGAGAAAAAGAGAGAAAGTTAAGAGAGTGGTGAAGCAATGTAAAAAGAGAGCAAATGAGAGAGTGGGTGAGATGTTATCAACAAATTTTGTTGAAAATAAGAAAAAGTTTTGGAGTGAGATTAACAAGTTAAGAAAGCCTAGAGAACAAATGGATTTGTCAGTTAAAAATAGGAGAGGAGAGTTATTAAATGGAGAGTTAGAGGTATTGGGAAGATGGAAGGAATATTTTGAGGAATTGTTAAATGTTGATGAAGATAGGGAAGCTGTGATTTCGTGTATAGGGCAAGGAGGAATAACATCTTGTAGGAGTGAGGAAGAGTCAGTTGTGAGTGTGGGGAAGTTCGTGAGGCAGTAGGTAAAATGAAAGGGGGTAAGGCAGCCGGGATTGATGGGATAAAGATAGAAATGTTAAAAGCAGGTGGGGATATAGTTTTGGAGTGGTTGGTGCAATTATTTAATAAATGTATGGAAGAGGGTAAGGTACCTAGGGATTGGCAGAGAGCATGCATAGTTCCTTTGTATAAAGGCAAAGGGGATAAAAGAGAGTGCAAAAATTATAGGGGGATAAGTCTGTTGAGTGTACCTGGTAAAGTGTATGGTAGAGTTATAATTGAAAGAATTAAGAGTAAGACGGAGATAGGATAGCAGATGAACAAGGAGGCTTTAGGAAAGGTAGGGGGTGTGTGGACCAGGTGTTTACAGTGAAACATATAAGTGAACAGTATTTAGATAAGGCTAAAGAGGTCTTTGTGGCATTTATGGATTTGGAAAAGGCGTATGACAGGGTGGATAGGGGGGCAATGTGGCAGATGTTGCAAGTGTATGGTGTAGGAGGTAGGTTACTGAAAGCAGTGAGGGGTTTTTACGAGGATAGTGAGGCTCAAGTTAGAGTATGTAGGAAAGAGGGGAATTTTTTCCCAGTAAAAGTAGGCCTTAGACAAGGATGTGTGATGTCACCGTGGTTGTTTAATATATTTATAGATGGGGTTGTAAGAGAAGTAAATGCGAGGGTCTTGGCAAGAGGCGTGGAGTTAAAAGATAAAGAATCACACACAAAGTGGGAGTTGTCACAGCTGCTCTTTGCTGATGGGCACTGTGCTCTTGGGAGATTCTGAAGAGAAGTTGCAGAGATTGGTGGATGAATTTGGTAGGGTGTGCAAAGAAGAAAATTAAAAGGTGAATACAGGAAAGAGTAAGGTTATGAGGATAACAAAAAGATTAGGTGATGAAAGATTGAATATCAGATTGGAGGGAGAGAGTATGGAGGAGGTGAACGTATTCAGATATTTGGGAGTGGACGTGTCAGCGGATGGGTCTATGAAAGATGAGGTGAATCATAGAATTGATGAGGGAAAAAGAGTGAGTGGTGCACTTAGGAGTCTGTGGAGACAAAGAACTTTGTCCTTGGAGGCAAAGAGGGGAATGTATGAGAGTATAGTTTTACCAACGCTCTTATATGGGTGTGAAGCGTGGGTGATGAATGTTGCAGCGAGGAGAAGGCTGGAGGCAGTGGAGATGTCATGTCTGAGGGCAATGTGTGGTGTGAATATAATGCAGAGAATTCGTAGTTTGGAAGTTAGGAGGAGGTGCGGGATTACCAAAACTGTTGTCCAGAGGGCTGAGGAAGGGTTGTTGAGGTGGTTCGGACATGTAGAGAGAATGGAGCGAAACAGAATGACTTCAAGAGTGTATCAGTCTGTAGTGGAAGGAAGGCGGGGTAGGGGTCGGCCTAGGAAGGGTTGGAGGGAGGGGGTAAAGGAGGTTTTGTGTGCGAGGGGCTTGGACTTCCAGCAGGCATGCGTGAGCGTGTTTGATAGGAGTGAATGGAGACAAATGGTTTTTAATACTTGACGTGCTGTTGGAGTGTGAGCAAAGTAACATTTATGAAGGGATTCAGGGAAACCGGCAGGCCGGACTTGAGTCCTGGAGATGGGAAGTACAGTGCCTGCACTCTGAAGGAGGGGTGTTAATGTTGCAGTTTAAAAACTGTAGTGTAAAGCACCCTTCTGGCAAGACAGTGATGGAGTGAATGATGGTGAAAGTTTTTCTTTTTCGGGCCACCCTGCCTTGGTGGGAATCGGCCGGTGTGATAATAAAAAAAAAAATTGGATATCACACTAGAGAGAGGGAGTATGGAAGAAGCGAATGTTTTCAGATATTTGGGAGTTGACATGTTAGCAGATGGGTTTACGAAGGAAGAGGTTAACCACAGAATTGATGAAGAAAAAAGGCGAGTGGTGCATTGAGGTATATTAGAAAAAAAAAAACGTTATCTATGGAGGCAAAGAAGGGAATGTATGAAAGTATAGTGGTACCAACTCTCTTATATGGGTGTGAAGCTTGGGTTGTAAATGCTGCAGCGAGGAGGTGGAGGCAATGGAGACGTCCTGTCTAAGGGTAATGCGTGGTGTAAATATTATGCATAAAATTCGGGGTGTGGAAATTAGGAGAAGGTGTGGAGTTAATAAAGGTATTAGTCAGAGGGCTGAAGAGGGGTTGTTGAGGTGGTTTGGTCATTCAGAGAGAGTGGATCAAAGTAGAATGACATGGAGAGCATGTAAATCTGTAGGGGAAGGAAGGCGAACTAGGGGTCGTCCTCGAAAAGGTTGGAGGGAGGGGATCAAGGTTTTGTGGGTGAGGGGCTTGGACTTCCAGCAAGTGTGCGTGAGCGTGTTAGACAGGCGTGAATGGAGACGAATGGTTTTTGGGACTTGACAAGCTGTTGGAGTTTGAGCAGGGTAATATTTAGTTAAGGGATTCAGGAAGACTGGTTATTTTTATAATATGAACTGCAAAGTTCATGCAATTCAAATAAGACAGCTATTGAATAAGTGATGGTTGATGTGTTTCCTTCTTGGGGTCACCCTACCATGGCAGGAAAAAACCTAAGAGGTAAAAAAAAAAATTGGGAGGAGGGGGAGGGAGAAGCATCAATAATTTAAAAAAAAATACGAGTTAAAGACCTTTCTTACTTGGCACTATTGTTGTAATTTTTTTTTTTTTCAACAAGTCGGCCATCTCCCACCGAGGCAGGGTGACCCAAAAAAGAAAGAAAATCCCCAAAGAGAAAATACTTTCATCATCATTCAACACTTTCACTACACTCGCACATTATCACTGTTTTTGCAGAGGTGCTAAGAATACAACAGTTTAGAAGCATACACATATAAAGATACACAACATATCCCTCCAAACTGCCAATATCCCAAACCCCTCCTTTAAAGTGCAGGCATTGTACTTCCCATTTCCAGGACTCAAGTCCGACTATATGAAAATAACCGGTTTCCCTGAATCTCTTCACTAAATATTACCCTGCTCACACTCCAACAGATCGTCAGGTCCCAAGTACCATTCGTCTCCATTCACTCCTATCTAACACGCTCACGCACACTTGCGTGACAATTAAAACACAGGGTGCAGAACTTCATCATATTAAGCAAAACCTTTTAAGAAATGTGTACTGAGGTTATAGAATGCAGTTCTGGATGACAACCAAAACTATCATGCCAAAGGAAGGTGGCATGATAGGTCATTCACAGATGCAGGTTAGATTATTGGGTGGGTCACATGGAGGGTGGCTTGGTGTGTAGGTATGTTATTTTGAGAATTGGAAAGGTTAATCATTCAGCATTCTTGGCAGTGAAAAACACACACAAAAACATAAAAGGTCAAATTAAACAAAAAATTACACCAGCACCTTCACTTCAGTCACCACTAGCAAAGAAAGTCAAAACAGTGCCACCAAAAAACCCACCATCAGAGACACCACCACCTGCAGAAGAAATGACTACTGAACCAACATTCCACTTCAGATCTATTACCCCAATCACCATGTTTACATGCAACTCTGACTGGCTTCCTGTACGTGCTGCCCAAGCTATCTACAACATCGAGCATGGCCAGCCCAAGTACACTCTCGCCTATGAATGCGAGCAAAGTGTAATAGATGCCTTATTCAAAGACCTACGCAACAATAATACAAGCTACGTTCTACAAACAAAAATATCCAGATCAGTATTCAAAAGAATCAAAAACAGTTCCTATACCAACTCAATAGTGTTTTAAATATTTAGTCCACTACTAGACGTTGCCTCCCTCTCCAGCCCCGCCTCCCGCCGGTCTCTACCAATCATAAGCCAGAGTTCCACAACGCAGAACAGGTGCAGCCAGCTTCACTCCTCGCCTCACTCTTCAGTCGTCTTTCAACCTCGCTGCAGTGCTGACCTCCTCATCCTTCCCTCCATCAACCTAGCTGCTGGGTTAAGCCCTGGTTCTTTTTCTAAGACTAAGGACAATCCTCTCAAGAACCAGTCTTCGCCTGTCCAGTTTTCCCCGCTCACCCCTGCATGGGGTCTTGCCTGTATATTGCTTGCTTGCTTGCTTACACCAGCACATGTGAGCACGTTAGGAGTAAATGGAAACGAATGGGTTTTGAGACTCGAAGAGTTATTGCAGTGTGATTGGATAATATTTTGTGAACGATTCAAGGAAACAAGTTAGTTGGACTTGAGTCCTGGAGGTAGGAAGTACAATGTCTGCACTTTAAAGGAGGGGTTTGGAATACTGGCTCTTTGGAGTGACATCTAAACTGTTGTATCTGGATGCCTCTGCAAAGACAGTGATTATGAATGATGAAGATTTTTTTTTTTTTTGGGGGGGGGGGTCACCCTACCTTGGTGGGTAGAAGACGGATGTTGAAAAAAAAAAAAGCATCAAGTTATGACAAATGGTTATAACAAACGGCATCAGCTAAAATGCCAATAAAATACCAGAAAACTCGTAAGAATTCTCCAATAGTTATAAAAGCCATGAGGCAAACAAGGCCCAAGTTGTTGGCAAACATAGAACGTATTCCACAAGGAGGGCTATGGGCAAGATGTGTACATCCAATTCTCAATCGACAGTTGTCTTTACAAACTGACGATTCCTGTTGAAGAAGAAAGGCCAAACACCCATTTCCTGCTGAACCCTGTATAGCCTGTGTCTCATCTGAAAGAGCCATCACTACCCAAGAACGTATGTGGCCCATGAAGTTACCAAAGCAGACGTACACCTTACAGCAAGCTCATTTCAGTAGCCTTTGTTTTGGCATCTGCCCATTCAGGCTTGATAGGTGGTTCATAAATGAAGGATGGCCTGTTCTATTAGATTTATAAAGCACTAGAACTTCTTGGTGATCCTGAGCATTCAACATATTCCATTTCTAACATTATCAAATTTATACTAATTATTAACCTGTTATTGTCATGACCACTTTCCACTCATATTTCATAAATTATATTCACAAAGCAAGTAAAAGCATTGTCTTATTTTTCATATTCCACAATCCATAAAATTCACTGTCATTGCCCATGACAGCAAATTTAGATGAAAAGGGGAGACACACCCAAACATTTATGACGAAAGGGATATTGGGTTCTCAGGCAAGCACCTTGTGAGGAGTGGTTTACTCCTCCCAAAGAACAGGGCCCTGACACCATGGCATGATCCATGCTGGGGATGAGCGATGGGTGGTGGTTCATGAATGAATACATAAAATATTGCATCAACAAATATTAAATGAATAATAATTTCTCTCACCTGGATATTGCCTATAAGCTCCTGGAGAGTTATCTAGAATGAATATAGAAGCCAAATCGGGACATATGGCAGCCAGATCTTTCGTGTAACTACCATAGTCAAGTGTACAGTGCTGGCGGTAGTATCGGCGTCGCAAAATGCCACGGCCGCCATCTAGCTTGTCAGCAACCGCAGCTCCATATATTTCCATACTAGCTGTGAATACCACGAGGTCGTACCACTGTGATACCTAAAAGATAAACAGTACATAAACTTAATTTGAGGTAAACATTTTACCAAAATATTTTACTAACAAAGGTTGGTGATTTATTACTTTTACATTTCTGTCAAAATAATTTCACATTTCTATAAAACATCAAAATACTTTGCCTTATCCCAAACATTAAACATGATAATAAAAAGAATAAGTAGAAAATTTAAGAATTTACCAGGCATAGATTCACTTAACCCTTTTAGGGTCTGTCCCGTAGATCTACGGCTTTACGTTCAAGGTCCAAACCGTAGAACTACGCCATGAGCTCAGCTCACTCTGATAAGCTGTGAGTGGTAAATTTGGGCCTAGATATGAGAGAATACATCTATGTGGTATGTGTGCACCATGCACCACATAAAACAAATCCTGCAGCACAGTGCATAATGAGAGAGAAAAAAAAAAACGAGACCATGATTTTCGATTAAAACAGCGACTTTGCAGTGTTTTTTCGTATGTTTTTTATAGTTGTATTTGAGATTTCTTGGTCTCATTTGATAGAATGGAAGATATATTACCTAGGTAGTAGGTTGGTAGACAGCAACCGCCCAGGGAGGTACTACCGTCCTGCCAAGTGAGTGTAAAACGAAAACCTGTAATTGTTTTACATGATGGTAGGATTGCTGGTGTCCTTTTTTCTGTCTCATGAACATGCAAGATTTCAGGTATGTCTTGCTACTTCTACTTGCACTTAGGTCACACTACACATACATGTACAAGCGCATATATACATACCCCTCTGGGTTTTCTTCTATTTTCTTTCTAGTTCTTGTTCTTATTCATTTCCTCTTATCTCCATGGGGAAGTGGAACAGAATTCTTCCTCCGTAAGCCATGTGTGTTGTAAGAGGCGACTAAAATGCTGGGAGTAAGGGGCTAGTAACCCCTTCTCCTGTATATATTACTAAATTTGAAAGGAGAAACTTTCGTTTTTCCTTTTGGGCCACCCCGCCTCGGTGGGATATGGCCGGTGTGTTGAGAGAAAGAAGAAGAAGATATATTACAGAAGTAGAGATGATTTTGATTGGTTTTAGTATTGGAAATGGCTTGAAACTGAGCTCAAAGTAGCGGAAATGTTAAATTTTTGTTGATGTTCAAGAGAAAACAAACGACCTCACACGTCTAATACACGCCAGCTGGTGGGTCTAATATACATTCACAAATGTGATGATGATATTTATGCAATTATTACAATATTGCATAACAGTAAATGTTCTATTTTTTGGTTTGAATAAAAATTCATTATGTGAATAAAAAATCAAAATGGAATTCATTTGTAAAGCCTGAAAACATAACTAATGAACAGAGGAAATGATAGTTTAGTGCCAGGAATGCCTGCATTGTTTATTCTGGACCCTATGTTGAAATTGGGATATTTTGAACTTTGTGTTAAATTGGCCAAATTACCAATTTCCGATCACTTTATTATGTAGTGGAAACAGTTGACTGGGCGATTTCTTGTGCTCAATCGATAATATAGAAGTAATACGTACTAGTGAAATAGCTAAGAATTTGGTCGATTGGAATAATGTAATTGGCCTAAAATCAGAGTAAAAGTCGGCAAAATCGCCGATTCATAAATATCGCAGACACATCAAAATTCGTGAGAGCATAATTTCGTCAATTTTCCATCAAATATCATACTTTTTGTTTTATTACCTTCAGAAAAAGATTCTCTACCATTTCATAAGAAAAAAATAACAAAATTAATTTTTTGAAAATTCTTGGACACTGGTGCACCCTTTGAAATTTGGTCTCTGGACTCTGAAAGGGTTAAGGAAAGAAACGGAGTAAAAATTAAGTGAAGTGTTATTTCATAAGATAAGTAATACAAATGGTGATGTTATCAGTATTTCATTAGTATCTGGTGATAAGTGGATGGATTTAGATATTTAGGACTTGATGTGTCAGCTGAAGCATCTTTGAAATTTGACCTAAGATATAAATCAAAGGGTAAAGGAGGGGGTCTTGAGAGGGTTTGACCACTTAAATAAGGGGTGGAGCAGAACAGGATGGGAAGGAACACGTATAAATCTGGGGTGGAGGCTAGCAGAGTAGGGGTCATCTCAAGAAGGACTGGAAGGAGTTGGTGAAGGAACTACGATGGGCTCTTAAACCTTTTACAATTATAGACCCCCAGTGGACTGCCCAATATGTCCTCACACCCCCTTCACAAGACTGTTGAAATCGCCATCACCACCAGTCCTATTAGGTACCAGTATGACTTCAATAGATGTCAACAGCTTGGTTTTATGTTACATATTGAGAGCTAGGAACAGAACAGCCGATAATTTATTGTAATCTAACAACCTTTTTTGAAAACTGTTCAGAAATGGAGTCCCATACCCCCATTATTTGGCTCCCATACTCCCACGGGGAATGAATACTTCTGGTTAAGAACCCCTTATCTAAGAGACAGAGGTTAAGGCATGCAGCTGGCAAGTGTAAGCATGAGATCATGATGAGTGGAGATGAGTAGTTCTCTGAATTGAAAATGCTCTTATGAATACAGGAAAACTGATAAGCCACTCAAGTCCTGGAAGCACAGTGCCTGCATGCTGGAAGACTGGAGATGCTGCTATTTGAAGGGTCATCTGAATAGTGATAACTGTAAACTTCTGGCAACACAGCCAATAAATAAATTACGGTAAATGTGTTTTCTTTTTTTATTTTTGGGGTTGGGAGAGGGGGGGGGGGAACAACCTTAACAGGAGATGGTCGATGTGGAAAAAGGTAGAGTAAAAGTTAGGTTACCATGGCTGAAAGAATTCACAATTAACCGGCAATTTGTAGAGGAAACATTATTAAGACATAAACCAAGGTACAGATGGGGCTCGAATTCATGGCAAGCGAGTCGTAAAACTCCAGGCCAGACATACTCCATGCATACATGTTCATCTTGACCCAGGTTCACGAAGGATCAAAACATCTGAAGTTTCCTTTCCAGACAGATTTATTTTTGAACTTTCTGATAAGTACAGAAGCTGATTTGCAGCTTGTATAGTTTTGAATGGTGTTAAACTCACTAATTTATGTATCTTGCTCTAAAACTGTACTGCATGTTCAATTGTGAGCAAGGCAACATACATGAAAGGATTTCAGAAACTAGTTAGCCAGACTCGAGTCCTGCAGGAGAAACACACACACAGTCTGCACTCTGAAGGAGAGGCATGAATGTCTGAATTTAGAGAGTTATTTGAATTATGATGTCTGTGCACTTCACACAAGGCAACCATTGAGTAAATGATGGTGAATGCATTTCTTTTTTCATAAATCACCATCCCGTTACAGAACATTCTTAACAAATCTTACCCCAAGCTTTGTTCCTGTATATGCTCGCCCACCTCAGAATATTATCAAATGCCCTAATCATAACATATCACATGATCTGACCTAACTTTAGTTATCTCCTTACCTCCCACAGCCTTGAACCGACTCCTGGTTTTCTCCACTTTTCTTCATCACTTGTGATAATTCAGGATAGACCAAAATGTCATCAAGTTTTCAGGTTAGTTGTGAAATGCTCCAACTAAGGTACTGTAGCTTATTCCACACAAAGGATCATATAAGAATAGAGGAAAATAAAAGAAAAGGAAATATAACTAAACTTTTAACCCATGAAAACCAGTACTGAAACAATACTAGAAAATGTCTTGAGAGAGTGACTTGAACATGGAGTGAGATCAGAGAGGCAGCATGTGTTACATACACAAGACATTTATATAACACTCAAGATGGCACATCACAAGCACTTATACTTTTGTAATGCAAATGCTCTTACGAGAAAGTGAAAACAAAAACATTTTTCTCTACGCTTTATTTTCAGACCTTAAAATATGCATTTAATGGTTGTCCCAGCAGTCGACTTAGCTGCTGCATCTATATTGTCTTTCCGTGCAAACAAGTTGTTTCTCTTATTAGTCTAATGAAGAGGGCCTCAATGTGAGGCTGAAATATCCAGTGCTCCTCTTAACATCTGGTTTGCCTCCATGTGTGCTCATCTGTGCTACTCACCAGTGTTTATTACATGTGTCTGAATACAACAGTTGCACTTTTTTTTTTTTTTTGACATACCAACTATCTCCCAATGAGGCAGGGTGACCCAAAAAGTTTTTTTCACATTTATTAATTTATATAGAAGGGGTTACTAGCCCCTTGCTCTCAGTATTATAGTCACCTCTTAAAACTATCAGTATAATAGACATATTAAAACTATATATACAGCAAATAGTGGAAGATGAGGTAATCAGTCCTTTAGCCTAGGAGCAGGTAGTCTTGAAGAATCTGAAGCACAGGCTTCAAATTATTCAAGCCTACAGTGCTTATCACCTACTCCTAGGCTGAGGGACTGATTACCTCATGAGCTTGTTAGATAGGATGAAGTGGAAACAAATGGTTTTAGGGGCCTGACCTGTTGAAGTGTGAGCAAGGTTATATTTTGTGAAGGGATTCAGGAAAACAGGTTGGCCAGACTAGAGTCCTGGAGGTGGGAAGTACAGTACCAGCACTCTAAACGAGGGGTTTGGGACATTTGCTGTTAGGAGGGACATCTGAACTGTCGTATCTGCATGCCTCTAGCAAGACAGTGATAGTATGAATGATGGTCAAAGTGTTTCTTTTTCAGGTAACCCTGCCTCAGTGGGAGATGGCCAGTTGTTAAAAACAACTTCTATGTCCATGTACTGCACTGATAAACACACTTGATGGCAAAACATCTACAAGTAAAATTACCCAGATGTAGCGCATGTCCAATTCAGCATCTTGTCGGTATTGAATACCACTGATATACTACCTGAATGCTGCATAACCTTATACTTAAAAATATAATACAGTATGCAAACTTATATGGCAAAGAAAAATACTAAGCAAATATCCTATCTTAAGATAAACACAAAATATAGCCCTAAAACTAATACAAGCAACTGTATCCCAGTAGATATTTGTCAACCCCTTGTTAGTACACCTTCCTGTGTCATGCTCTCAGGCTAACAGCCACAAATGGATGTGTCAAATAAGCTTCTCTGATATCAAAACTCATGTAAACATTCTTAAGACACCTTGTTTCATTCCTTCGAAATCTCAGAATAAAAGGCATGAAAATTAAGCAAACCTTTTATCAGAAATATGATCAAAAAGTCCTTTTTTTTTTAATGAACAAAACAGTAAGATGCTCATCATCCCAATGAAAAAATACAATACTATAGTATTAGTTTATGCAAAAGAAATATTAACCCCTTGACTGTCGCGGTCGTATATAGTATACGTCATGGGAGATACCGTGTTTGACGTACCTATACGCATAAATTCTAGCGGCTTCAAATCAAGTGGGAGAGGGCTGGTAGGCCTACATGAGAGAAAATGGGTCTCAGTGGTGGGTGTGCATCATGTGAAAAAAATCGGGGACTCAGCGGTGCATTGTGGGAACGCCATCTTGGCAGTCCATTTTCACCATGCCTCGTGGTAAGAAGTTCCTCACTCCTCGGCTGATTGGAGGTCTTTTGTTCCCAAGTGATAGCTCAAACAGCGATGAAAGTGTCAGTGAAAGTGAATTCCCTGGTTTTGAAGCGGGTGTGACCGAGAAAAGTGCCCAGGATAACATAATTAGTGATGAAAACCCAGATTACCCACAACCTTCCATCTCTGGTGCTGGGCCGGCTCGTTCATGTTCACCTGTACCAGGACAAAAGAGGAAACTATTTGCCCGTGTACAAAACTCAGATGTGAGCAGTGTAAGTGATAGTGATAGTGATTTCAAGGTTACTGAAAGCAGTTCTAGTTGTGACAGTGAAGGTGAATATTCCCCAGTGAAGTGGCAGTATATACGACGTCGCATGCGGTCTGGTAGTGTGCCATATACTCTTGCAAGAGGAAGGAGTACATCTCGGAGCACATCCCGTGGCCCGACACCACGACCTGATAGTGAAGATGACGATATTGTTACGATGGGTATCAATGATGCAAGTGAGGCAGCAGGCAGTGGTGGTGATAGTGATGGTGGCACGAGTCATGTGACACCAGCAATGGGCCACACTACTACCCACGCTGCTGACTCTGCACAACTACAACCAGCTTCACCCGACCCCAAACTCCCACAACAACCACAACCTGCACAACCACATTACAATATCCAGAACCCACCAGCTGACCGCATCTGGGATTGGCAGCAAGATGACAAATTTGTTCCCAGTCCCCATGACTTTGATGGAGGACAAAGTGGAATACGGCCATCATGTACACTTGGGAATAATCCCACTGAACTGGAATGCTTTCAGTTGTTTTTCGATGAACCCCTGATGGACATCATTGTCAGGGAAAGCAATACATACTTTGAGTACACCATGGCAAACACTATTCTGTCACCAAGATCATGCCTACACCAGTGGAAGGACACAACTGTGGCAGAGATGTATCTGTTCGTTTGCCACAATAATGCTTATGCCACATGTGTATAAGCACAGTGTCAACACATACTGGACGACAGACCGCCTGATTTCAACCCCTGCTTTCAGTGACATTATACCAGTGAATAGATTTGTGTTACTGTTACGTATGTTACACTTATCAGACAAAACAAGGCCTGACAGAAGTGACATGTTATATAAGATCAGACGTGTGTTTATGTACCTGAAACAAAAGTGCTGTATGTATTTTTATCCCTTCAGGAAGCTTGTTATTGATGAGTCTTTGATTTTGTTCAAAGACTCTCATTCAAACAGTATATACCAAGCAAGAGGAAACGCTTTGGTATAAAGTTATTTGTTCTGTGTGATTGCAAAACTGGTCTGGTTTCAGATATAATTGTGTACACTGGCGGTAAAACATTGGAAGATACCAGAAAGTTACTGGGTATCTCTGGTGATGTGGTTAGAACAATGATGGAGCCATATCTTGGTAAGGGGCATATTTTATATACTGACAACTGGTACACAAGCCCTATACTCAGTGATTTCTTGCAACTGAACATGACAAATGTGTGTGGCACAGTGCGTGGAAATCGTAAACATATGCCTAGGTTTGATGCTGGCAGTCATAGAGGTGAAGTGCAGGTGTTTGCTGCCAATGACATTATGGCATTTCAGTGGACATGACAAACGTGATGTCACACTGCTAACATCAGTTCACCGACACGAAATGGAAGACACTGGCATGCAGAATAGAGAGACCAATGAACCCATTGTAAAACCTGCAGCTGTGATGGATTACAACCTCAAAAGGCGCTTAGTGGACAAATGTGACATGCAGATTGGGTTTGCTGACTGTGTTCGCAAAGAGTTATAAGTGGTACATAAAACTGTTTTTCCATCTTCTTGACATTTCCATGCTGAATGCTTATAATATGTATAAGTTGAAGACCAAGAACAAACCCAAATATGGTGAATTTTGTTTGTCAGTCATCAGACAAATAATATTCAAGTACCAAGGAACAGACCTGAAATTTGGGCCCTTTGCGCCCACAAAATTATCAACACACGTCCTCTCGTCTGAGGCGTGGTGATCACTACTCCATACCACTGCCTGCTACTGCTCTCAAGAAAAATGCTTCAGAAGAGGCTTTTTGGGTCTGTGGACATACCACAAAACGCCCACAAAAACGTAGAGAGCTCGTTTTATGTGTGGGAGTGTAAAACACCATTGTGCTTATAACCATGTTTCAAAGATTCCACAAGCTGCAGCAGTTCTAGAAAGTGCCCAGTGATTGTACATATGTATATATATTATGAACAATCGTAATAACAATTTTTTTATATTGTTTGTGTAAACAAGTTTTAGAACATAATGATACGAGTGTTTTTTGCTATAATTGTGTTACTTCAACGAGTGTATATTTAAAACTTTTGTACAAAAATTTTTGGTCTCACAGGCCACAAAAGTTATGGTGAAAAAAAAAAGAAACCATTGAACACAAGTAAATCAAAGTTTACGGGTGAGCGGCAGTCACACTGTTGCCGTTCACAGATCATTTTCAGCAACTTCACACCTCTTATCTCGGAAAGTACTGATGGGATTTTTTTTTTTTTGGACTAAAACAATCGGAAAAATAATCTTAAACATTTTCATAAAAAAAAAATAATTTTTTTTTCGAATATTTTGCGACACCAGGAGACACTTCAGGATTGGGCCTTTCGACAGTCAAAGGGTTTAAAAAGGGTTTATAAAATCATGTAGTTAATTATACCACACACTAAGAAAAATTATTACAAATTAAAAGCACTTACTATATCCAAAAAAAAAGTAAAACGTGTGGTCGTTTGTGGACGAAGAAACCGCACCGGATCCCGGTCTATAGTAACTTTTAATACAAAATCTGGTGGGGTGCCTGGCTTTACCATTTGCCGAATAACGCCGTCGTGATGAGAATAAATGAGGGTCTCATCCAGACCCAGTACTAAAACCTTACGCTTCACCAGCCCTGTCGTAAGAAAACTATTTAATGATCGAAATTTATTTCGGTACATATAATTAAACAATCCAGATAGTCTATTTTTTAAAAATATAATTTCAAGTATGCATTAAGAGCTTACTGATAGTTTTTTTTTTTATTTAAAACATTTCAACAGCAGGCTGGACTACTTACTGAGTCTATGTTTAGAGAGGGGGGGAGAGTGGCAGCACTCATACTTCACCGGCTGGTACTGCAAAACCTGACAACAGTAATTCTTTTAACCATTATGCCTTAGCTTGTTCAAATTAAAAAAAGTTACTTTATACCCAATTACTTGTTCTTGTTCTTGTTCAGACCAGAGCTTTGTGAGATGGGTAAGGAAGAAGGATGGGTAAGGATAGAAATATTGGAAAAGGGTGGGGGGGGGGAGAGAGGTAGGATATAAAAGGTAAGTGGCCCAACCACTTCGGTGAAATTTTAAAAAAGTGTACATGAAATGATAAGATATTCTTTAAGGGGGTATAAGACTAACCCATCAGTCACATAGATATAACAGATATATAAGTACATGACTCTGAATTGGTAGTAATTATACAAGTTGCAATAAATAAATAAATAAATAAAAAAATAAATATATATATATATATATATATATATATATATATATTTATATAATATATATTTTAATAAAAATATATATATATATATATATTTTTTTTTTTTTTTTTTATTATCACCCCGGGCCGATTCCCACCAAGGCAGGGTGGGCCCGAAAAAGAAAAACTTTCACCATCATTCACTCCATCACTGTCTTGCCAGAAGGGTGCTTTACACTACAGTTTTTAAACTGCAACATTAACACCCCTCCTTCAGAGTGCAGGCACTGTACTTCCCATCTCCAGGACTCAAGCCCGGGCCCTGCCGGTTTCCCCTGAATCCCTTCAAAAATGTTACTTTGCTCACACTCCAACAGCACGTCAAGTATTAAAAACCATTTGTCTCCATTCACCCTATCAAACACGCTAAACGCTGCCTGCTGGAAGTCCCAAGCCCCTCGCACACAAAACCTCCTTTACCCCTCCCCCCCAACCCTTCCTGGGCCCGACCCCTACCCCGCCTTCCTTCCACTACAGACTGATACACTCTTGAAGTCATTCTTTTTCGCTCCATTCTCTCTACATGTCCGAACCACCTCAACAACCCTTCCTCAGCCCTCTGGACAACATTTTGGTAATCCCGCACCTCCTCCTAACTTCCAAACTACGAATTCTCTGCATTATATTCACACCACACATTGCCCTCAGACATGACATCTCCACTACCTCCAGCCTTTTCCTCGCTGCAACATTCATCACCACGCTTCACACCCATATAAGAGCGTTGGTAAAAATTTTACTCTCATACTTTTCCCCTCTTTGCCTCCAAGGACAAAGTTCTTTGTCTCCACAGATCCTAAGTGCACCACTCACTCTTTTTCCCTCATCAATTCTATGATTCCCTCATCTTTCATAGACCATCCGCTGACCGTCCACTCCCAAATTTTCTGAATCGTTCCCTCCTCCTACTCTCCCCCTCCAATCTGATATTCAATCTTTCGTCACCTAATCTTTTTGTTATCCTCATAACCTTACTCTTTCCGTATTCACCTTTAATTTTCTTCTTTTGCACCCCCTACCCAAATTCATCCACCAATCTCTGCAACTTCTCTTCAGAATCTCCCAAGAGACAGTGTCATCAGCAAAGAGCAGCTGTGACAACTCCCACTTTGTGTGTGATTCTTTATCTTTTAACTCCACGCCTCTTGCCAAGACCCTCGCATTTACTTCTCTTAAAAACCCCTCTATAAATATATTAAACAACCACGGTGACATCACACATCCTTGTCTAAGGCCTACTTTTACTGGGAAAAAATTTCCCTCTTTCCTACATACTCTAACTTGAGCCTCACTATCCTCGAAAAAAACTCTTCATGCTTTCAGAAAACCTACCTCGTACACCATACACTTGCAACATCTGCCACATTGCCCCCTATCCACCCTGTCATACGCCTTTTCCAAACCCATAAATGCCACAAAGACCTCTTTGGGCCTTATCTAAATACTGTTCACTTTATGTTTCACTGTAAACACCTGGTCCACACACCCCTACTTTCCTAAGCCTCCTTGTTCATTGCTATCCTATTCTCCGTCTTACTCTTAATTCTTTCAATTATAACTCTACCATACACTTTACCAGGTACCTCAACAGACTTATCCCCCTATAATTTTTGCACTCTCTTTTATCCCCTTTGCCTTTATACAAAGGAACTATGCATGCTCTCTGCCAAAATCCCTAGGTACCTTACCCTCTTCCATACTTTTTATTAAATAATTGCACCAACCACTCCAAAAAAACTATATCCCCCTGCTTTTACATTTCTATCTTTATCCCATCAATCCCGGCTGCCTTACCCCCTTTCATTTTACCTACTGCCTTCACGAACTTCCCCACACTCCAACTGGCTCTTCCTCACTCCTACAAGATGTTATTCCCCCTTGCCCTATACACGAAATCACAGCTTCCCTATCTTCATCAACATTTAAAAATTTCCCTCAAAATATTCCTTCCAATCTTCCCAATACCTCAAAACTCTCCATTTAATAACTCTCCTCTCCTATTTTTAACTGACAAATCCATTTGTTCTCTAGGCTTTCTTAACTTGTTAATCTCACTCCAAAACTTTTTCTTTTTTTTCAACAAAATTTGTTGTTTAACATCTCACCCACTCTCTCATTTGCTCTCTTTTTACATTGCTTCACCACTCTCTTAACTTCTCTCTTTTTCTCCATATACTCTTCCCTCCTTGCATCACTTCTACTTGTAAAAACTTCTATATGCTAACTTTTTTTTCTCCTTTCTTCCCCCCTTTACATCCTTTTCCATTCCACCCCAAACGCTCCTCTTCCCTCCCGCACCCACTTTCCCGTAACACAAACTTCTGCTGAACACTTAACACTACAAATTTTTTAAAACCCACCCCCATACTCTTCGACCCCCATTGCCTATGCTCTCATTAGCCCATCTATCCTCCAATAGCTGTTTATATCTTACCCTAACTGCCTCCTCTTTTAGTTTATAAACCTTCACCTCTCTCTTCCCTGATGCTTCTATTTCCTTGTATCCCATCTACCTTTTACTCTCAGTGTAGCTACAACTAGAAAGTGATCTGATATATCTGTGGGCCCTCTATAAAATGTACATCCCGAAGTCTACTCAACAGTCTTTTATCTACCAATACATAATCCCAACAAACTACTGTCATTTCGCCCCACATCATATCGTGTAAATTATTTATCCTCTTTTTTTTAAAATTGTATTACCTATAACTAAACCCCCTTTTTATACAAAGTTCAATCAAAGGGCTCCCATTATCATTTACACCTGGCACCCAAACTTACCTACCACACCTCTCTAAAAGTTTCTCCTACTTTAGCATTCAAAATCCCTACCACAATTACTCTCTCACTTGGTTCAAAGGCTCCTATACATTCACTTAACATCTCCCAAAATCTCTCTCTTCCTCTGCATTCCTCTCTTCTCCAGGGCATACACACTTATTATGACCCAAATTCTCGCATCAACCTTTACTTTAATCCACATAATTCTTGAATTTACACTTCATATTCTCTTTTCTCCTTCCCTAACTGATCATTTAACTTATGCTACCCCCTTTCCCTTTTTTCTAACTCTCTCAGATACTCCAGATTTAATCCCATTTATTTCCCCCCATGAAACTCTCCTACCCCCTTCAGCTTTGTTTCGCTTAGGGGCCAGGACATCCAAATTCTTTTCATTCATAACATCAGCAATCATCTGGGTTTCTTGTCAAACCGCACTACATCCACGCACATTTAAGCAACCCAGTTTTATAAGTTTTTCTTCTTCTCTTTTTTAGTAATTGTTACAGGAGAAGGGGTTACTAGCCCATTGCTCCGGCATTTTAGTCGCCTCATACGACACGCATGGCTTACGGAGGAAGATTCTTTTCCACTTCCCATGGACAATAGAAGAAATAAAAAAGAAAAAGAGCTATTTAGAAAAAGGAGAAAAACTAGATGTATGTATATATATATATGCATGTGCGTGTCTTTTGAATGTGACCAAAGTGTAAGTAGGAGTAGCAAGATATCCCTGTTATCTTAGCGTGTTTATGAGACCGGAAAAAGAAACCAGCAATCCTACCATCATGCAAAAAAAGTTACAGGTTTTTGTTTCCACCCGTCATCTGGCAGGACGGTAGTACTTCCCGGGTGGTTTGCTGTCTACCAACCTACTATAATATATATATATATATATAATAATATATATATATATATATATTTATATATATATTATATTTATATATATATATTTTATATTTTATTTTTATGTATGTATGTATATATATGTATATATATGTATTTTATTGTATTTTATATGTATATTATGTATATGTATGTATATGTATGTATATGTATGTATATGTATGTATATGTATATGTATGTTATGTAAAATATATGTATATATATGTATATATGTATATATATGTATATATATGTATTATATGTATATATATGTATATTTTATGTATAATATGTATATATATATGGTTTGTAGGTTGGTAGACAGCAACCACCCAGGGAAGTACTACCGCCTGCCAGATGACTGTGAAACAAAAACCTGTAACTGTTTTGCATGATGGTAGGATTGTGGTTTTTTTTTCTGTCTCATAAACACGCTTTAAAATAACAGGGTATCTTGCTACTCCTACTTACACTTTGGTCACACTTCACAGACACGCAATTCATTTATATATATACATACATCTAGGTTTTTCTCCTTTTCTAAATAGCTCTTGTTCTTTTTTATTTCTTCTATTGTCCATGGGAAGTGGAAAGAATCTTTCCTCCGTAAGCCATGCGTGTCGTATGAGGCGACTAAAATGCCGGGAGCCCAAAGGGCTAGTAGCCCTTCTCTGTATACAATTACTAAAAAAAGAGAAGAAGAA